GTTTCAGCAGCGGCTGAATCTGGACGCCAGTTCTGACTTACATACAGATTCAACTTAAGAACAAACCTACAGTCTCTATCTTGTACAGGCAGTCCCCGGGTTACGTACTTTAGACCATTTCTCTTGTTTGTCTAGATCATTTTGAATTTTAATCTTGCCCTCCCAGCTTTGTAATGTCTGCAAACTTTAAGTGTTGTTCTATCTAGGTTGTATTTCCTTAGTTTCGCCAGTTCTGACTTACATACAGATTCAACTTAAGAACAAACCTACAGTCTCTATCTTGTACAGGCAGTCCCCGGGTTACGTACTTTAGACCATTTCTCTTGTTTGTCTAGATCATTTTGAATTTTAATCTTGCCCTCCCAGCTTTGTAATGTCTGCAAACTTTAAGTGTTGTTCTATCTAGGTTGTATTTCCTTAGTTTGTTCATGAGAATGTGATGCAAGACAGTACTGAAAGCCTTACTATTGCTTCTTTCCATCTGCAATGCTTGTTTTGCTGTCAAATATGATATGTTGACGTGATGTGATTTGTTCTTGACAAATCCTTGCTGACATTTACATATTACCTTATAATCTTCTAGATATTTGCAAACTGAATGCTGAATTACTTGCTCCATTATCTTTTTGAGTACTAAATGTAAGCTGACTTTGGCTCACACTGTAGCATAAAAATACTTCATAGTTTAACCTTCCGGGATAATGAATTTGATGTATGAGTTTCCCAAAATTATGTTGAGATCTGTACTTACTTTGTCTCAACTACTTCCTGAGCACAAGTGAAACTATGGTATCGATTTTTCAATATCTGGTACCATTCAATACCAGTTTAGTGTTCAGCACTGTTCAAAGATTAAAGCAAAGTTTCAGAATGCTGTATCAGCCTTATGATTTTCAAGTTAGAGTCCATAATAAGGAGGCTGCATGATATTATTGCAAAGGATGAGCTGGAGGTCCATTGTAAACCTGTTTTCACTGCAGGGGTGTGCACTCATGTGTATTTAAAAAATCAAAACTGTCCGTGTGGGCACACGCACGCACATTACAGGATTTAAGTTTTAGACCCTGATACTGCAGTGAGCTCCACTTAGGTGTCAGGCTGACCAGACCCTACTAAAGCACCAGTCCTATACAGTCATTAATTTCCAAATTATTTGGAAGGAATGGGGTTTAATAGTATAATCTTTTGCATTTTTATTGTGTTCTGTATTTTCTTACTGTGATACTTCATGGTTTTTGTGCATTTATATCTAAGGAAAATGATGTTGTTATTATATGAAGAAGGTCTTCGAGTGGTGATACATACATCAAATCTTATTGATGATGATTGGGACCAGAAAACTCAGGGGTAAGCAACCATTTCTTTGTTATATTAGAGTCTTTGATACCTACCAGCTCTTAAATAAGGAGGCTGCATGTCTTATGCTGTATTGTGTGTTCAAGATGGCCTGAAAAATTATTAGGAATGGACTTTTTACCTCCACTTTTCTTGGTAAATGAGTAAGGCCAGATGTTTGACTGTATTTTGGGGAGGGGCAGGTTGTCCTAGTTTTACTATCTGCATTGGCTCTGCAACATGATGTTGAGAAACTGGTATTATCTGGGCAATCACAATGAACACACAACTGGAGACAAGATTTGGACCCCACACCGCCTTTAATTGATGTTAATTCATGATCATAGAAAAACACAGTCAGACTTTCAGATATGGATGGATTTGAAAAAATTATCGTCAAAATGTTAAGATTTGGATGTGTTAATCCTCACTTAGTCATTCAGCAAGTGAAATGACTATCTCATGCATAAACTTGTGCATCCCTATTGACTTCCAAGAAAAATACAGTTGCTCAGTTCATTCTGAAAATAGGGAGGTATTCTGAGATGTATAGATTTATTGTAAATTAGCATATATAACCTGTACCTGTGCATAACCTGTGGTTTTTCCTAAACGTGTTTATATTTAAAAAAAAAAAAAATTAACCAGTGGACATGTATAACCTGCGGGTTATATACGCTACTTTAAGGTAATTGCACATACCAGGATAAACTGCATCTTCTGTTAGGTAGCCAACCTGCTGCCAGCGGGGGAAACTTAGAGCGCAGCACAGGTGAGCTGGCTGGCCTGTGGGAGGGGAGCTGCACTCGCACCCAGGCTCCTTGCACCTGCAACCAGGCTCAGCCCATCTTTCTCTGGGTGGGGGGAATGGAGAGCGCAGTGCAGGCGAGTAAAAATAAACTTGTATACCTCGCAGGGGATGCGGGGGCAGGGTTTGCAAAAACGTGTATAAGCCACAGGTTATATATGCTAAAAAACGATAGGTAGATATAGGAGTCTAAATATAGGCAGCCAAGTATGTTTTTTTTTTTTTTAAATATTCTTGGCCTATTGTATGTTCTTGCTTATTAACTGACCAAATTTTGTCTGGAAACAATTGAGATGCAACTAAACATTCCATGATCCCATTATTAGAGTGTATCTTTTCAGAATAAAACTGCACTTTAATGTGGTGGCTTCCAGGTGAGTATTAATAATGGTTGTTTTTCCTTAGGAGTTGATTGTTCAAATACTGTATGTGTATAATTCTCACTGCCTAAGCCAGATTGTCAACGCAATCTAGGTGTCTAAAGATGTAGTGAGTACCCCACACGCTGCTTTCTGTATCAGAGGCAGTAGCCTGGGAGGTTGGGAGTGGAGCAGGCTTTTAAGCAAGCTCCCCATGTGTACTGGCTCCCACGGAGCTGCCTACCATTCCCTTCCCCTCACAGTGCTGTCTCCCCACCTGTGTAAACATATAACTGCTGAAAAATTCAGCGATTTACAAGTTTAAAAAATGCTTTCTAACAGCCTTAGTAGTGAAGTGCTTAATGTTTTGAAAAATCCCCTAATCAGGTGAGTCAACTAATTCCCTAAATGTCTTCACTAAAATGTCATTACCGATGAGAAGAAATCAAGGATGGCTCGTCTTATAGGATGAGCAGCGTGGGAGGTAACTCTCAACAGTAAGAGTTGAGCTCATCTTTGCAGGAACGTGCTTCCGTTTCAGATTTTGGTAGGGGGAATTTTGTTGTGAAATCCACAACTTCAACATACATTTAAGTTGGCTAATTTTTTTAATTGCTAAAGATTTGAGTGGTGATATAATGCTTTGCAACCTGGTGCACAGCATACACGCTCAAATTTGGTCTGATTGCCCAAAATTTGAGTGAGGGGCATTGTGATTGGAGAACTGAAATTTAACCCCACATCAAAACCACAACTTTAACAAATTGTGGTCACAATTTCAGAATTAAAAAAAATTACACCTTTCTTAGCTGTAGTAGCTATATGTAAACATTGTCCCCTTACCATTATATCAGAAATCTAAACAGGCATCGTTTTTATCATTTCTGACCACTTACGGTTTTGTGGCAAATTTCAGGCCTTTCATTATGAGAAGTTGTACTCACTAGTTTTGCAAAGATTCACCCATTTAGATAGAACTTTCTGAATATTATGAAGAAACCAAAGCAGATACTTAAAAATACACAAATTTAAATGTTTTCTTTTATAGTTGGCAGATATATACCAATTCTGTTGATTTGTAACAGATACTAATATGAGAAAAAAATGTAACTTAACAGATTTTTGAGGAATATTGGCTCGTAAGCATTCTCTCAAGACAGTTATAAGGCTGAAACAGTATTTAGGGCCTTCTTAAATCACTCTCTTATGGCGGGAAGTCCTGGCTAACACGCTGGTCTGATAAGTGACAGTAAATTAAGAAAAGTGTTGGAAGAAGAGCTTCCATTAAAATATCTTTGTTTTCTCATCCCTCACTGACGTTATTCTGAAATATCACAAGGAGGAGGGAGAAAAATTGTTCTCATTTTCCTTTCATCAGAGGCCAAGAAGCAATGGGCTTAAACTGCAGCAAGGGAAATTTAGGTTGGACATTAGGAAAAACTTCCTAACTGTCATGGTGGTTAAACACTGGAATAAATTGCCTTAGGTGGCAGTGGACTCTCCAGCTCTGGAAGTATTTAAAAGCAGGTTAGATAGACATCTATCAGAGATGGTCTAGACAGTGCTTGGTCTTGCCATGAGAGCAGGGAACTGGACTCAATGACCTCTCGAGGTCCCTTCCAGGCCTAGTATTCTATGATTCTATAACAGTCTGCATCTACACTACAAGCAGTTATTTTGACACAATGTCAAAATAATGTCGAGCTGAAGGACTTATTTCTCCGACTCCTGTAACCCTCATTTCACAAGGAGTAAGGGAAGTCAGAGGAAGAGTGCTCTTTCTTGGACTTGTTGCTGTGTAGACAGCGCCAAAAGCTGAAATAACCTATTTCAATTTAAGCTACACAATTGGTGTGGTTCCAGTTGCGTAGCTTATTTCAGCTTTAGCCCTGCTGTGTAGATGTGCTCTGAGAGACTTTTCTTGGCAAACCATTTCTAAAATAGTTGTACAAGAGCTATATTTTTCCATCAGCCATCTTTAATCTCTACTAGACACGTCCGAATTTTAGAGCTCATCACTTCACAGAAGCAAATGCCTTTTATAGGTTTTTCAGAAGCAGCAAAAAACATCATAATTTTTGGGTTTAAAATATCTGTTTAGAGATGTCTTTCACTTCAGAGCTTTAATGCTATCTAGTGTTTTTCTGCCAGTTGGATTTTACAGAGAACCAACCAGGCATGAAACTGGCCTAACAAATTTCCCTACTTCTGAATCATTTAAAAATAAAGAATAATTTCTTATTGATCAGAACTTCCTCCATCAGAATTTGTGTGTGTAGAACCTCTGGCATCTAGTTGTAACAACATGCAGGATTCCTGGTATGATGGCTTCCACAAGAATTGTAGATGTTTCAGTTATGGAAGACCGTGCATATCCTTTGATAATTTAACAAAGGCTTTCGTTACTATAGCTACAGTAATGTAAAACTGGAGAGAAATCTTGATGTTGGTTTAGTCTACCTAGAATGCAGATTAACTCATAAGGATGCTTTTCCATTTGCCACAGGGAAGAAAATAAAACCCAAATGTTTTGTTTTTTCAAAAAAAGTCTGTGTTTAATTCTGGTTTGTGTAGTGGTGGTTGAAATTGGCTATAAATAATCCTTCTTAATCTCTTTTCTACATTGTGTATGACAATTTTGCTGAAGGACAAGAGATTTTTTTTAAAGAGAAAATGTTTTTTTAAAAGCAACTAGTAGATTGTTAGATGTGATAAAACCACTTTTCACACAAAAGCAGATCTATGCTACATCGACATCACTAATGGCAGAGGTTCTGTCTTTTCGATCAGCATACAGTAGGATATTTTATTGTTCCTGAATTTGAAAGAAGCATTACTCACTGTTCTGGAATGTCCAAGATAGTGCTTTATTTTCTATGATCACTAATTGGAAACCTTGAGCGAACCTATACTGATGAGTTAAGCAATAGCAGCAAGGCATTTTCAGCATCTGTATCTCTTTGAATGCCACTTATTTTACATAGCATTAGTGTCAAAAGGCCCCAAATCATGAGTAGGGGCTATTAGACTTGATGAATGTCTGGAAGGACTCTCTCCTCCCACAGAATTTGAAATTTAAAAAGGTAACCTCTGTCTCCCTACTCTCTACCTCTCTCCTTGCCACGCTTCTGTGCTCCTCTAAATGGTGCGGGAGACTTATAATCTATACACAGAATAATTAGGTGGTGGCAGACAGTTAAAATGTTGGTTCCATGTGTTTTGTTTAATGTTTGTATGGTTTTATTTTCTGTACCAAACCATCTTTTTCTGGTGAGGGAGGACTCTGGAATGACATGAGGAAAGGATTCTTGGGGCATAAGAAGGCGGGAGGGTGGGGGTGAATGAAAGAACATAAAGTAGAAAGGAAATGAAGTTGGATAGAAGAGGGGAGGGGTAGGAAGTACACTGGGCAAACAGCAGAATGAAGCTACAAAGCTTAAAGAGTTGTGTGGGTAGGATGCAGAGCAGATCTGAAGGAGTACTAATGGCATTACAGTGAATTAAGAGAAAAATCCAGAGTTCAAGTTTCAAAAGTTAGAGATGTCATCGCTTTGAAGGCAGGGGCACTTCTGTGTTCAGATCCTCCTGATTCAGAGAACAGATGAAGAGATAGGACTGGCAGACTATATGATTTGTGTGTCATCCTCTGCTGTAGGCTTTGATGAAGAAGCCTACACCCACTATTAAATATACATCTTTTTATTCCAGATTTAGGTGTTACTTACGTAAACCAATCAAAGCAGAGTGGCAAACGTAGAAGGAAACCTGCTTACGTCTGGGTTGTGAGGAATTATTGAGATGCAGTGGGTTATTATTGAAACTACTCTGAATAATTAGCCTCTAATTTTCTTTTTTGTTTTAAATAGTAATGGCTCTGCTCGTTTAGGCCCAGACTCTCCAAAGTATCCATGTGGGCAGACTCTGGCAACCATTCAGTCATGAGACCCATTATGGGAATAAGGCTATTTCCTGAGAGTCCTTTTGCAAGATGAGGGCCATCTGTAGCCATTCTTCCTTCTGTGCAATTGCTGCAGTACTGTTTAGATTTGCACAATCTAATTCAAGGAGTGGTTTGTAATTTCTTAGCAATAAAACAAGATAGGATGGATAAGGTTATTTCTTTCATTGGACCAACTGTTGGTGGTAAGAAGGACAAGTTTTTGAGCTTACACTGAGCTCGTCTTCTTTCTCTGGTCAGTATACTCAGTCCCAGCAAAAGAAGTTGGTCCAGTAGAAGATACTTCACTCACCTTGTCTCTCTAATGTCCTGGGACCAACATGAATTTGGCCATGAAATGTTAGCTTTGGAAACTGAGAAACAGCATATCATAGAAATCATGTGTGGAGAACTTCTTTGTGCCTTAGTAGTTTCAAAAGGTTGTCTTATCTTCTAGTATGCTGAGAGAAAAACTCTTCCTTACTCCTCTTAAGATATCGAAGAAGCTAGAACTGGAGACTTAGGTTAGTGAGGAGACTCGTGACAGGAGCAATGGTGCCCTGTCTAGAATCCTAATCTTCCGAAGAGGCCAACACTGGGTTCCTTTGAAGGAGGATGGTGGCAGCTCCATATTCTCAATAGTAGAAAGGATTTTGGGAGATGACGGACTCCCTCTTCTTGTGTCCCCTCTTCTATGCATTTTGGAGTGACAAATGATTATCCTTATAAGAAGGAAGTGGGACATAGATCTTTCAGGCTCTCTAGCTTTGGTTCACTGTTTCTCGTTCCATGAATTGGTAGACAATTCTAATTTAAAGCAGTGCAATTTTCAACTTATCACAGTTCTGGATGCAACTATTACTAGTCATGCTGAATATTTGCATTCAGACTATATAACATTTACACAGCACTGTACATCTACAGGGGATGAATAGTCAAAGTAGTGCATAGTCTGTGACCTATTGAGTGTAATTACAGTTTAGTGTTCTAGGAAATTTATAATGGATAGTATGTTTTCAATTCTGTTCTGGCAGAATAATAAACTGCACTCATAGTTAACCTTCTGTTTACGTCTGAAGTGTGATCTGCGGTTACTATGCATGCTTAACAAATTAAGACAGTCATTTTATTAGTACAATTACCAGAATCATCAAATAACTCAAATGTTTCTACCTGGCATTCTGACTAGGCTGCTGTATCTTGTTCTTTGAATATATGTAATATGATATGTAATAAGTGAATAAATATAGTGACTTGAAAATGTAGTGCCTTATTGTTTCATTGCTACTTTCTTTTAGAATATGGCTAAGCCCCCTATATTCACGGCTACCACATGGGACTACTGGTTCTGCTGGTGAATCTTTAACCAATTTTAAGTCTGACCTAATAAATTATTTGATGTCTTATAATTCCCCTACTCTCAAGGAATGGGCTGACATCATCCAAGAGCATGATCTTTCAGAGACTAGGTATGTATCATCTCAGCCTATTTTTTAATGTGGGTACCTTTTTTAACTCTTTTTTTTTAAAAGACTAGGCACTGAATCCGTTGGTTATGTAGAGTTTGCAGGGTTCTATGTAAGAGATTTGTTATATTGATTTTAAGAATTGCAATAAGAAAAATAAATCTAGGAATGTGCATTAGTAGGTACAAAGTCTCTTGGTTTTTTTAATACTAAATTTAGCCCGAATCACTGGACCCCCTGGCTACATCTACACTGCAGGCTTTTCGCGCAAGAACAGCCATTCTTGTGCAAAAACTTGTGGAGCATCTATACTGCACACGTGTTCTTGCGCAAGGAAATTTACAGTGAAGCGTCTGAAGAGAGGGCTTCTTGCGCAAGAGTTATTCCTCTTCACACGAGGAATAAGTCTTCTTGTGCAGGAGCTATTACTCAAGAAGGCAGTGTGGATGGGAACAGGGGTTTCTTGTGCAAGAAACCCCTATGGCTCAAATGGCCATCAGAGCTTTCTTGTACAAGAGAGCGCCCACACTGCCATGGACACTCTTGTGGAAAAGCACATCTCTTGCACAGAAGCACATGGCAGTGTGGATGTGCTCTTGTGCAAGAACTTTTGTGCAAGAACTCTTGCCCTAAAAGTTCTTATGCAAGAAGCCTGTAGTGTAGACGTAGCCCAGTAGAATATGCAATAACAAACTGGAAAACTAAAAGGCCATCTGTAAACCATGCTGAAAATTCAAAGAACCCAACATCAGAGAAGAGATTAAAAAACCTTTCCTATGTCATTTGTACAAAATAAAAAAAAAAAAAATCTAGGAAGGGATTTTCTATTAGCAATAGTGTAAGACTGCTGGATAAAGAGGAAAAAACAAAACTGTGTGCCACTTTGGGAGAAGAGGAAAAGATGCTAGAGAGAGAGGTTGGCATTTACTATCAGTCTAAAAATCAGCAATGGACGGTATTAACAAAATACACCAAATATAGTCCAGCTACTTTGTATTACTAATTCTGCTGTAGTAATGTATACTGTATTTTGTTAATGTATGTATCAGGCTATGCTGATAATTACTTACATTGAAATCAGTGTTGAATCTTGTAAATGGAAACTATGTATTCCATTACAGAAACTGTTGGGTAAATTTCTCTTTAGTGAGCGGATTTTTCAATCCAGATTGAGATGCACATGCTAAATGGTAAATGATGGCTTTGTCTATAAAGTGCTTTATGTTCCACTTTTTGTTCCACACTTTGCAATTAACTTATTTCATCTTCTTAAGAGTATATCTGCTTGGATCCACACCAGGACGATACCAAGGCAACCAAAAAGAAAAATGGGGTCATCTTAGGCTTAGAAAGGTATAGGAATTGTTGTATTCTCTTTTCCTTCCCTCTTTTTTCATAAACAACGTTAGTGGGAAATTCTTTTGGTTTGTGTTTAAACTTTCCATCTCTGCATTACAGTTTTCTAATATTAACTATAAGCTGCTTAACATGTTGTTTCCAATATGTACTGCTGTCGGAATGACGCTTTCTAAGGACCATTCTAAAACCATACATTATGGACTGTACATCATGATGCCGGACTTATAATATGTGTCGGGAAATATCAGATCAGAAGCCATTTTATTGGAAGAAGACTACTTCCCTCAGAAGATGCATAGCAGAAGTCGTCAGTAGGCGTGACAGTTGGCATGATAGTTTAAAAGGGCAAATTTAGTATAACTGACCTACAGAATAGGATCATTCAGTGTTATACTTAAAAAGTGGCTGTAGTCGCTATTAGATAGGCTTTTGTTTACCTTGTCTCTAAGGCTAGGTCTACAGTATAGCCTTTTTTTAAAAAAAGCTACGCAAATTGCGTGCCGCAGTTTGCGTGTCTTTTTCCTATTTGCTTTTCTGGAAGAGGCCGTCTAGATGGGGCCATATGACGGGAAAACTTCCTCTTTCAGAGGAGCCCTTACTCCTGGTTGAATGAGGTATACAGGGCTCCCCGAAAGAGCTCTTCCGCAAAAAAAACAGTATCCCGGAAAACCTCCGTAGTCTAGACGTACCCTAAATGACTGGGAAAGAAAACGCTATATAATTTCAAGTGTAACTACACTGATAATGAATTGAAAATGCAGGAGGTTGGCCTGCAAATATGATTGAACAAAATAAGCATATTCAAGTTCACTTGAGGTTTTTTGGCTTGCTGTAACTGGTTAAGGTTAGAGAGTAACTGATTTTCTACACCATTTGCTAAATAATCAATTTATTAAGCCACATTCATAAAGCTTCATATAATATTACATAGTATACTGGAGAATCTTTCCACTAGGAATTGTATGTTTATGCTTCTGTACAAATTTATTCAGAATTGCAAGAAGATGCCTTTATATTGTCTTTTATATGCACATTCCCAAAGTTGGGAAGGTACTCTGTAGCTAACTCCTCTTTGGCAAATGGTAATTTCATACTCTTCCAAACTTTTTACCTGTCGTGGTCAAGATTCTAACACCATCTTTCACAAATGTCAGTTGTTACAGTCTCCCCCCATGCTTTATGAAAATTGGCTTATGAAATATGGATAACTTGAGATGTTAAAATTGACGTTACATGGTGCATTTTACATAAAGTTACAATCTTCTGAATCTGTATTTCCTATTTTTGTGCATGAATCATTCTTGTATGTCAAGTTAGAAATATGAAGTATGAACCTCACTTAATGCTAATAAGGGCCATTAGGATTTTAATGACTTGGTACTCAAGGCAAAGAGCTGTGGATAATCTTATTTGACCTGTAAACAAACGCTGTGAGTAGTCCTAGAAAGACATGCGCCTAGGCCATCTGATGCTGAAATCCATTTTGGATCTTGTACTTTTCCACTTGAGGTGAGAGAAGTTTAAACTGAGCACCAAGAATCACCCCCTGCCGCCCTCGCCACTTGGACAAAAGGGATATAAGGGAGTGGAAAACTACACAAAGGGGCAGTTGCCAGATGCCAGGAGACCACCCGCCTCCAACTTACCACATAAGATGCCTGCTAGAAACATTTAAGACTGAACAGAAGGAAGGATCGGGTCCAAGCTAGAAGGCTGCTTGGCCTGTGAAAAATGTTTAGAACAATTATTTAGGGTAAAAATTTGCATGTAACAAGTTTCTTAATGGATTAAGACTAGCTGGCATTTTTTGTTTTAGTTTAGTAACTTACTTTGGTCTGACTGTTTTCACTTGCAACCACTTACATTCTCCTTTTTGTATTTAATAAAAACACTTTTATCAAGCCCAATGTAAATAATTTTACCTGGGGAGGAGCAACCACTGTGCATATATCTCTTTCAGTGATATAGAGGGCAAATTTATAAGATATCACTATGTAAAACTTTCTCAGAGTAAGATGGATTTATTTTGGCATCTTGGTCCCTTTTGGGGGTTGGTTTCCAGGGTTCCTGAGCCGTTGAAGCTGAGCCCTAACTGGCTCAGTGTCCATTTTGTTTTGCAGGGGGTTGTTACTGCAACTCTGTTTTGTCTGGGGGAGACCAGAGCTTCTGGCCCAGCAGATCAGGATGGTAGGGAATCCCAGAGGGAAGGAAGGTAGATGTCAATGGCATGATTAGTATACCTGGAGACAACCCCAAGGGGACGTCTGTGATCTGTGAAATGTGTCCTCTTAGTTCATTCGTCTTCTACTCAAAGGAATATCCATTCTTTTGCTCTCTCATTGGAATCTGAGCTACGCATGCTACCTCATTATGACAAAGTCAATCCTTCACTATACAAGAAAATTGTAAAAGTTATATCCCCCTTGTAAAATGGATGTTTGAATAAAAGCTCTAACTGGCTTCATGATAAGAGCTGCATTCATATGCTAAAAGGTGCAAGTTTTACACTCCGGCTGTAAAATAAATATATATAATTGGCGTGTAAAACTTGTGCCTTTTAGCGTATGAAAGATGCTTTTCTCATAAGCTAGTTAGAGCTTTTGTGATGTCTGTCCTTTTCTCAGATAATTTAATTGGCATTCATGTCCTTGTGAACTTGGCTTTGTGTATTTTTTTTTCTAATTAGCCTTTCAGTAAGAATATTTTAGGAAGAATTTTGAAGAGGACATTATTTTGGTACCCCCTACCTCCACCACCACCTTTCTCTCTGTCCCTTTCACTCTTTTCTGGGCCATATGAGCCTGGGAACTTTCAAAGGAGAGAAAATGAGTTAGGTGTCTGATATCCATCTGTTTTCAAAAGACTAGAGTGACTAATTTCCTTAGATTCTTAGGTTAGTGGATAATCCCAGCCTATAAATTTCAGGAAGTATCTTGAATTTTTTTTTTAAATACTCATCTATTAAATTGGTGGTTTTAGCACATCTGAACGAAACTATTCATAATCTCTTTTCTCCATGGAAAAGAGCATTATGTTTTTCTTTGGAGTTGAGTAGTGTTTTTATATTGGAATCATGACAAGAAAATCCAATTTTTTTTCCATTGGTGGCAAATAAACTGCTTAATTATAGAGAGCATTTTACAAGATCTTAAACTGAAACCTGGCTATAAATATTTTGTTATGTTGTTTGATATGTTGGGGTCTAACAGTGTTTTAATTTTCCTGAATAGCTTTTGAAAGAGTATACATCACAAATTCCAGCACAAGAATCTTGGCCAGTGATAGGACAGTTTTCAAGTATTGGATCAATGGGAGCGGACCAGTCCAAGTGGTTGTGTTCAGAATTTCAAGAAAGCCTGGTTACTTTAGGCAGTAACACGAAGACTCTAGCAAAACCTGATGTTCCTATTCATTTGGTATGTTTTGTAGGTAATAGTAGTTAGTATTTTTTATTTTCTGATTATTTATTTATTGCCAGTGTTCAAAGCTAGGATAACAGACAAGTCTCGTTGTTGTCGTGAGTTTACCAATGCTTCTGGGGAACTCCTTCCCCCTCCCCCGCCCCCCAAAAAAAACCTTCAGGATTTTTCACTTAGCGCCAAAGTGGAAGAATTTTTTCCTACAATTAATGATAAAATGATACACCAGGGCTACTCAGCTTTGGAAACCCGGGGGCCACAGTGATACTCTCAGCACATGCCAAGGGTCGCAACTTAAGTGTGGTTGCATATACATCCAAATATATGCAAATAGCTTCTTTTATACTGAGGGGCATAAATATAAAAATTAAGGCAAGACTTCACAACATGCAGGCCCCATTAAAGTCAGTTCTGCTGATATTAATAAAATGCAATATTTACCCAGTTTCTGCCCATATGACCTCACTTTTAATGAGCAATGACAGTCCAGGAATTTGACTACTAAAACGCATATCAACAGAAGACCATTATATTGACTCGCTGTTGTGGAACATATGCCCAGTGGAGGCCATGTTCAAAGGATCCCACCCTTGAACATGGTGTAAACCCAAACTGTATTGCAGGCTACAAACAAATGGGACGTGTATTGAGTAGCCCTGTGATACACTATAGCTATGTGATGTACAAAATCATACAGCTACACTTAAAAAGTATAATAAGCTGTACAATCTGTTTGTTGCCAGGTTTCAACTTACGGGACAGCGTTTCTTATGTCAGGCTAAGACATTGGCATTCTATCAGCAGATTGAGAATTAAGTTTATCCTCTGTGATTACACTCAATAATAAAGGAGGTGAATTGGCAGAAGAAATGCAGTTATTTTCAATCTGTAATCATTGGAGATGATAACTCTGTAAAAACTAGAACTCTATTTTTTTTGTCTTTTTGTATTTTTCTCACTTTCATAATTATTTCAAAATGTTGTCGTATTTTGTCGGTAACATAGGCAAAACTAGTTCCCAGGGGTTACTTCTTGATTATTATATACATCTGTATATTGTGCCTATTCCATTTTGTCTATTCCAGTAGAAAAACTCATTTTAACATTAAGAGGATGTATTGTAATTATGTCAGTATTCTTAAAGCACCCCCATGGCCATCTGGGTTTTAACAGTCAAAGGGAGGGAGAAATAGAGTTCTAGACTGGTAAAAAGATCCTAGATCATCTTGAAAACTAATAAATGTATAGACTAACAAAACATGTAGATGGAATCATGAGCTTTCATGGGCACAGTCCGCTTCTTCAGAGAAGTGAATGGGCTGTGCCCACAAAAGCTCATGATAACATCTACATATTTTGTTAATCTATAAAGTGCTACAAGACCTTTTGTTGTTTTTTAAGTTTATCCTGTACAGACTAACTCGGCTGCCCCCTGAAGCTTCTGTAATAAATGTGTCCGTCTCTAAGATGCTACAGTATTGCTTATTGTTTTTAAAGGTACAGACTAACATGGCTACCCCTCTGAGGCTATATGCAGGAGAGTTGGCCATCACTAAAATGCATCTTCCGCTGGAGTAGGATGTAGCAGTAATTTTTGAACAGCAACATATTAGGTTTTGGGAAGAGAAGGAAAGAAATAACTTTTTTTTTTTTGAGTGGCAAGGAAAATGAAAAGATTGTGGGCTGAAAACCAGAGGTCAAAGTGTGCCAGTACAGCATACCTTTAAGAGCTGGCTTCCAGTACTGGTCCATACATGGCCAGTGTTAAAGTTTAAAGTTGGTGCCCCGTTTGCCCCTGATCTCCTCCTCTCTTCCCTCCTGCCCCCCTGCCGTTGGCTGTCCTGCTGGTAGCCCTTTGGCCAGAGTGGAAAGTGGGGAGAGGAAGAATGTAGAAGTGGCTCATTGATTGGTTGGCAGTCCTGGGCCCTTGAAATTGCTACCAGAGGTCGGGCTGCTACCATGGCAGCCAGTGGTTAAAGAAGGTCAAGGGCTGGCATAGGGGCATCTGGCCCCACCCCACATCATCTATCTTGCCAAGGACTCCATTAAGTCCTGACAATTACTTTCACCCCTGCTGAAAATTTATATTGAAAGAGCCACACCCCTGACAGACATAGCGGTGCCAACCTAATGCACTGATGTAGTCGGGGCTATGTTGACAGAGGAAATCTTCTGTTGACCTAGCTACCCTCTCTCAGGAAGGTGGGTTAACTACAGTGATGGGAAAGTCCTCCTGTTGTTGAGATGAGCATTTACACAGGAGCACTGTAGATGTGTTGCTGTAGCATTTTAAGTGTAGACTTACCCTACGGAGGGAAAATGTATTTGGCTTGATGAAGTAACATACCTGGTCCCTCAAAGTGCTCTGCAATCTCTTCCCACATCTTAATTATGTTTTCTATTTTGGAAACTGATAGGATTACAGAAATATCTATTTTTGTTTTAAGTTCAGTCACCAAAGTGTTCTAAATTGGAGTTCCCAAAATGTGAGGTGTAGTGTTATTCCACATCTTAAAATTCCCTCTTTGTGTTTCCTCTAATGGCTGTATCTGTTTCCTCTAATGGCTGTATCTGTATTACTTGTACTCCTCCATCTTAGAAACAAAATAAAATAAGAGCAAGGACAGAGTATTCTAAACTAGAATTAAGAATAAACCTTTCAGTGAGGGGAAAAGCCAACAGTAACCTCAAGAGAATTACTTGGAATATGCTCATTAGAGTCTCCACTCCTTTCAACCTTGAATTTCATGTATATTCACCTAGAAGGAGATGACGGACATTATAAGCATTAAATATTTGTTACTGGATCATGACTAATTTCCTACTTTGTTTAGTTTAATTCCAATGACATTTTGATTGTAGCTTTTTATTATTATTATTATTATTCTAATAAGACTCCTGTATCGTGATAAATTTTGAGTCTTGTTTTTTCTGGAGGAGTGTCCTTTTTACTCTACATTATTTGCTAGGAATTTGACTTCTCAGAATATTCAATGCCTAAAAAGATAGGATTCTGATACCTTTATGTCAAGGTGAGTAAAGTTGTAGTAGAACTGCATTATTTCCGTTATCTTGGTTTGATTTTTGTTTATTATTTTTTTTTTTTAGATTTACCCTACTGTGGACAATGTGAGGCAAAGTTTGGAAGGCTATCCTGGTAAATTAATGAATAGAAAAAATATTTCTAAAGTTTTTGTGACAGTGCACTGTCTGCCAATGTGTAAATGTTTCAGCAATTGGTGTTTCTTCAGAGTGAGCCTCAAGCTGCTGGTTGTATTGGGAAGACTGTTAGATTATTGGTCGGCCAACCAGCCAGTCTTATGATTTTGTTTTTGTAACTCTGACACCAGCACTTCAAAGATTTTAATGTATTGGTTTGTAAATTACAAATCTGTTTGTCCAGTTTGCATGTCAGGCCTTGAATACTGCTCCAGGTCACAAATGTGATTTAGTGGTACGTGGGATCTAACAAAAAACGGAAACATTTTGTTGTGCTTGTGCTTATGTCACAGTCTTCTCTACACTGCATTTTGAAAGCAAGAATAGTAGAAGGCTTGATTGACATTGAACCAGGGCCTAGACTTGGAATGTAATAGAGAATAATACGTTTATCCTAGGAATGGCAATGGTTGCTCATGTGATATTTTAACATTCCATGCTACAGTTGATCAGTTCATTCTTCCCAGGTCCATATTCCTAAAGTCTGTGTGCAAAAATGCATGTCTTAAAGTTTGACACAGACCATGTTTTCAGAAGTGTCATATCTCAATGGCTAGTTCGTGATACCCATTTTCAAAAGTGCTCCCTCAAACAATGATTACTGAGTTGGAGAAGCTTTCTTCATTTTTTTTATAAATGAATAATGCTCATCCACCTATGGACTTGATTATGGGGTGCACGTTCCTTTGGGCATTATAAGGAAAAATATCCACAGAGGTATCTTAAAAAGAGATTGAACTGTAAATCATAAATCGGAACTTTCTGAATTCATTTTCTGGTGCAAATTTATAACCTAATGTTTGGGAATTTGTGTTTAATTTTTTTCTTTCTGACTAGACAAACCGATTAGCATCAGTTGAGGCTTCTGAATTGTTTTTCAAGGAAACATTTTATGAGATGAAAATGGAGCTAATGTATTCCTGTACCACCTCCACTGAGAATGTATTTTTGTACTGTTTTCAAAACGTTTTTCAAAAAATCAAATACCAATGTTTTATAATTTTTTGTTTTTCTTTTGAGCTGGTGGCTCTCTTCCATACAGTATACAAACTGCACAGAAGCAACTTTGGCTGCACTCTTATTTCCAGTAAGTGAAACTCTTGGTTCTTAGTTTACAGAATTGATTATCAGACAGTATGGTTAAACTTATATTGCTACAGTACACTATAGTGTGTAATGAAAATTTAGGCAAACTACTCAGATGCCTGGTGGGATTTTAATTTCTTTGCTGCCAAAGTTAGGTGTGTTTTGCGTACCACACAGATATTCAATATATGCTCTGTTACAAGAAGTTGCAGACACTATAGAATCTTGTTATGAAATGTCCAGATCAGGCAGTCACCAGAAACTTGCTTTTAAAACTGAAATCTGTACAATAAGACTTTGTCTAAATTTTCCTTTTCAACCTGGAAAGGATGTATGGTTGTACTACATTTTCCCCTAAGCCCCATATTCTGAGGATCTGGGCAGGAGTGTTTTGCTGTAGGCCCTAACTAAGCTGGTCCCAGCAGGGTCAGGAAGACATTTTTTACTGCAGTGCAGCAGCTATGGTACAGGTCCGTTGAAGTCATCATGAATGTTACCATTGATCTCACTTGGGCCAGGACTTCAGGTGAAGTCTTTGAGGAATACTCCATTTAAAAGTAAAAAAAGAACAGGAATTTGCACTAGATTCTTTCTACAGCCCAATGGACCTTGGTTTTCTACCAAATAACTTGTCTAATTTCTTTTTTATTTTCTAGATGCTTTATAAGAGACTGATACATTCTTCATGGTTTTAAATGGGAAAAAATGCATTAATGCAACTTTAAAGGGTGGTTAAACTCTTAAAAACGTTAGTCTGAAAATGGTGTTGTGGTATCTCATGATGTGAGTTATAAATTGGTTAATTTACACATGAAAATAATTTATGTTCAGCCAGTCCTGCAAGCTGCATTATGAAAGTTCCCCTGAAACACCCTGGCTTGTCAGCAGTATTAAAATTCTGAAACAGGAATGTATTTAAGTCTGATGCATGAAACAGAATCGAATCCAGCTCACATTCCCATATCACTGCACAACCAAAATATTTAACAGTGGAGAGAGCAATGAGGAAGTAGTGATCACTTTTGCCAGTATAAAATGAGCATATGCTACAAACATGGAGAAAATCTGTGGAGTAAGAAAACTACCATTTTTTGCATAGCCTCCCTTTTTGTGATTTAACTATATAATTCCTTTGACTGCAGAACTTTCAGATTGGATTCATTATTGATTAAACGCTTTACAACAGATTATAATTTATTGAAATGTGTTGTAAGTGAGTGACTGAAAGCAGGAGGCTTTAAGATGTCGTCTTCAGTTGTCCAATTTTTTTAATACAAGTGCTGTGTTCTTTCCAAGAATTTAAAGGGCCACTATTTAAAAATCAAACTTTACCTGCATAGGGAAATTTTGTAACATTTCTCAGACCCGTTAACACTGGTTCAGCTCCTGAAAAGGGAGCAACCTAGAGAACTTTAGTGTAGATAGATGACCAACATTTGAAGTGTCATGTCAGTTAGGCCTTCCTTTGCAAATTGTTCAGCATGTTGTCTGCAATGCATTGGTCTCCTTTTACATGGCAATATAGATGTCATTCTCTTTTCTAGATTCTTGCGTACTTCATTCTGTCTACAGCCAGAAGCACTTAACTTGTTTTTCTTTAGCATTCTGAAACCAAGAAAAATGAAAAAGCATTCTCAGCTGTAGACCAAAATACATACGAATAAATGAGACAGATTGTACCAGCTGCCATTTATACACCAGAAAACGTTTCAGTGCAGCTCCTTTTTTGATCCCTTTTCTAAGAACTTCAAATGAAAGCCCATTCCCAAATTATTTTAAATGCATTAGCATTTTTTAAAGTAATATATACTGGAGGGAAATTTAATACTCAAGTAGTCGGAAATTAAAGTAAATGTTAAGTGCATACTATTAACTCTTTGTTTGTACACACATTAAAAACCACTTGTGACCTTATATGCAACAGTGATTGTGCCTTTGCAATATACAAAAATACTTGTGAGCACTAAAGAATATTCCTTTCTGATTAATGACTGTGTCTCTAGAACAATGGCACTGACCCTCTCCACCAGCTTCTACAACATCTTGCCAGGTTGTGCACTGAAATCAGTCCATGCTGTGACTCCTGTTGGAAATTAGAGAAGTGTAGCATGACAACTGAGTGCAGAAGCAATCCGTGTTTTGTTTTAGCCAGAGCTGGATGGGTTGATTTTTAAATCAAGGTAATTTAAATCTCAATTTAAATACCAAAAAATAATCGATTTAAAACAAGTTTCCTACTGGTGATACTTGACATATTTCTTCAAACAGTGGTTCAAACATAACTAAAACATGTTTACTTTCAGTTCAGTACAACATTTTACAACATCTAAGAGGGTATATTTGTGTAATTTTTTTTAGTTTTTTATTAATTTAGAAAATAGTACACAATACACATTACCTGTGTCACGTTTCAGATGCAGCAGCAGTACATTAGGAAAACTAAAAACTAAATCATAAAAACACAATAGCCCTTACTTAAGTTTCAGTTTAAAAAAGGTTACATAAATGTTTCACATCTTCAGTTACAGCAGTCTTCTGAGTTGCTGGCTGATGGCTGTCAAACTCTTGAATATTGAAATAAAAAAGATTAACTCTAACACAGTGGTTTTCAACCTTTTTTTTTTCCTCAGACCCAGCTGAAGAAAATTATTGATGCCTACCACCCAACAAAATTTGGGTAGAGTGGAGCTGAAGATAAGAGCTTTGGGGTATAGGAGAGGCTCCAGTTTTGAGGGGGTCAGGACTGGGGCAGGAGGGGCTTACCTTGAGGGCTCCCACTTAGTGGTACAGAGGTCCCTGCTATACGTCTAAGATGTGTTCAGAAAAAGTAGATATACAGCAAAAGGACATAAAGCAGAGATTTTTTTTTTTCCTACAGCTGATTTAGGTTTGTGCAAATTGGTCTTTTTTGTGTATTGTGTGACAGAGTAGCGGGGAAAAGGAGGACTTAGAACAGTTCCCACAAGCTTCAGTGACACTGGTGTGGAACCAACGTATACCAGGGCAACATAGCAGGGACACCCTGTACAGTGCAGGAGTGCTAAGGCAGGCTTTCTGTCTCTCTTGGCACTGCAGACCACTCTGCTCCCCAAAAGCAACCAGTAGCAAGTTCCCAGCCAATGGGAGTGCAGATCTGGTGCTCACAACAGAGACAGTGTGTAGAGCTCTTCTTCCTCCTCCCCCACCTAGGACCTGGGCCTATATCTAGCTGCTTTTGGGGAACAGTGCAGTCTGCCTTAGTACACCCACTGCTCATCTGATTGCAGTAATGAGACCCAGTGCCTGACATTTCACAATGTAGTATTGGGTTGTGATCTGTAGTTTGAAAACCACTGCCTGACAAGCAAGTCCTCAGAACACTATGGCCGTGTCCAGACTCAAGCCGCGTTCTTTCGAAATTATTTTGAAAGAATGCAGCTTTTCTTTCGATGGCGGTAAACCTCATTTCACGAGGAAGAACGCCTTCTTTCGAAAGTTCCTCTTTCGAAAGAAGGCGTTCTTCAATGTAAAGAGGCCGTCTTCGAAAGAGAGCATCCAGACTCGCTGGGTGCTCTCTTTCGAAAAAGCGGATTTCTCTTTCGAAAGATCCGCCTGCAGTCTAGAGGCGATGCTTTCGAAAGAGCCTCTTTCGAAAGAAGCCTGCAGTCTAGACATAGCCTAAATGTATGGTGTCCTTAAACTTCTACAATGTAGCTCTCCTCTTCCCCATCCCCACTGTCATTTTGGTGCAGATCTGATTCCAAGTTACCAAAAAAGCTATGGCGGACTGCTTACAGTGCACTTAATTTTGGTGTAAGCCCCATGGAAAACAAGTATAGGATAGGATTCCTTTGGGAAAGCTGAATTATGCTAAAGTAAAATAGAAAATAGGCTTATTGCATCATCATTAGGGTCTGTGACCCTGATGTTCCAAAATAGGAGGCATGTATTATATATTATGTAATATAAAATAAGAAAATAACACTGGCAACAGGCAACTCAAGATTTCTCTTACTGCAGCTTTCTGTACTGTGGGGCAGTGCTGGGGATCAGGCTGCAGGGGCAGGATGAAAGGGGCAGTGGTTGCAATGAGGGGCATGGGGCAATGGGAGAGAGGAGGCTGCTGGGGGGAGGGGAGAATCATGGGGCTGAGGGGGAGGGATGCTGGAGCAAGAGGGAGGATGTGGGGGGGGGGAGGGATACAATTTTACTTTGTAGAAGCTGCACTTTCCTTTACTCCCCACTTTGCCTCCCTCCCCAGCTAGCTATTTGGCTGCATTCTCACCCTGTCACCTTTTCTGCATTACTTTCCCAGGACCCTTGTGTTCCCAAACTCTCTCTCATAGGCCCATCCCACACCCTCTCCTGCTGGAAACTGTCTTCCATACCCTGCCCTCCTCACCCCCTCCTGTACCCCACTTCCCATCCAGATCCTGCATCTCTGTCCCACTCAATGGCAGCCCTGTCCTGCACATTGAACCTCTCATGTTTGTTCCCACTCCAGAGCCTGAGGGGGTCCACAAAATGAGTTAACTCTGGAATCCCAGAAAAGTAAATCTGGGAAGCCCTGAACCTCTGTCCTCCCTGTCCCTGCCCCTGACTCTGTGGGGGCTGCAGTGTCAGAAGAGTGAGGTGCCTCAGTTGGGGGCCACATCAGTGAAGATTGGAGGTTTTGTGAGGAGTGTTTTTGCTTCTCACTTGTGTGGTCCCCCAACTGATTTTTTTTTCCTGTGGGTCAATGGCCCTTGAACCAAAAAAGGTTCCTCACACCTGCCATAAATAAAGAAAACATTGAAACCTTTTGTGTTGGACATATTTTACTTTATTTATTTAAAGTGAAGATAGATAAACTCACATGAGAGAGTTCATAGAATCATAGAATACTAGGATTGGAAGGGACCTCGAGAGGTCATCGAGCCCAGTCCCCTGCCCCTATGGCAGGACCAAATACTGACTAGACCATACTTGATAGACATTTATCTAACCTACTCTTAAATATCTCCAGAGGTGGGGATTCCGCAA